CCAGAATCCTTAGCAATAGTCGCATCCTCAAAAAATAGGAGAATTATTAAAATAGAAAAATGTAAAGAGATGAGGCCGAAAGAAATTTTATCGATTTGCCTATGATTATACCTAATTTTGACAAGTGCTAATTATAAACTTTTGTACTATAAGAAACGCTTTTTTAGTCCAAAACTATTAACTTTGATTAAAGATCTTTGCTCCTATTGTTATATCAACAAGGATCTTGTTCATGTATACACAGAATGATCTTTGGCTTGCACACCTTAAAAACCCTGTATCAAACATTTGGTCATCATCATTTGAATTATTAAACCAACAGTTGTGTGTGAAGATTGGTTTTTGGAAACTATTTTCGATGACTCTGAGTTTGAAACCATAATTTTTCATATGAATATTTTGTGTATATATTTTGTAAAATACAAATATTATATAGATTGAATTTCAAGCACAAGTAATATTATTATTAATTAATTCACAGTCCTTAAAAATATATATATAATGTGTAAACCTATGATATAGTACTAACAACAAGAATGAATCACAATAAAAATAGATATCTATTGAGTAAATTTGCAGGATATATAACGAGACAATAAGATCGTTGTTCCCATTACAATCTGAATTGAGGTCTTTCAAAGAAAGAGAAAAAAATTATATTCTAAAATGGTATTATAATTAATATATATAATAACTAAGGAACATCTAAATAGCAAAGGAGAAGGAAATATAGATGAAAGAAAGGAGCAAATATATAAAATTAAAATATTTCTAGAGTCTCCTTAAAGTATGCTTCAAAATGAGCTGCAAAATTCGAACGTAAATTTAAAATATAAATCTTTATGGTACAATATATATACAAAAAAATACATATTGTTTTAAAATTACATCATAATTACGTAAACATAAAAACTCCATAAAAATTCTGCAACGCACTTCAACAAATTGTTTGTGTAAATGCACATAATTATACCTTTTTTCCAGAACTTTTCTTTAGACTTCTCTTTGCTTGAACAAACAGTTAAAAAAAAAAGAACAGAAAAAAAGCGACAATTAATTAGAACCTTTTTTTTTAGCCGCTTCCACCCACACTTTCCATGTTAATTAAATCAAAATTAAAGGCTAGAGCAAGAACTCAACAGACCAATTCCACAATAACCTTGTTTCGTCTATAATGAAATTTGATTTAATAAAAATATTATTTATATATGCCAAAAGTTCAAAGAGAAAAGTGAAAGAGGAAAAGAAAAATCAAGCCGCAAATTGACTCGCAGCAAACAAATTCAATTTGGGATAATCACATCAATTGCATTAAGATGCGAGTTGAAATTTTCGAAAAATTCATAACATAAAGAAGGGGAAGAGGGAATGGGGAAGTCGTCAGGAGAGCGGGGGGAAGGAAGGCTACGGCGCCCTTTAACACTTTTGTCAAACTGAATTTCAACGAGCTCATAAAAATTAACAAAAGGGGGTAAAATGCAAGCATATGACGCTAATCCGAGGGCCTTAGACCACAGTTGGAACGTCGAGGCCGTAGACAGAAGGCATGAAAGCCAAACAGCCTTCGGACAGATTCTGGAACGCTTCAGCGCACTGGCAAGTGGCGAGTGTAACAAATGTGTGCCAGAATATCTATCAACTGGTCCTCGTTCAGGTCTTGGTCCTGGTCGTGGTCGGGGGTTAGGTTAAGTGCATCAAGGAATCAGAATCAAAATCCGAATCAGAATGGAAAACTACAATCAAATTAGGGTGTGATGGCTAAACAATTGTCCCCCGTGGCAAATTTAATGCCACAGCAGCCAGAACCTGCTCACTCTCTCTCTCTCTCTCTCTGTCTGGTCTGCTTGTCCTAATGGCACCCTAATTGTATGTGTAAATATATTTTGCGGATTACAGGGCGTCAATGTCGTCGCGCGTTCGGATAAGATCGAAAAAAGTAAGCCAGAGAGAGGGCAGCGCACGAGGGAGTGTGGGCGAAAACCTTTTGACAAATTACAATTTAATTTAAATGAACTACATAAGTGATTTTTTATTGCATATCCCTTTTTTGTGTGTGTCTCGGGCACTGAAACTTTAACAGTTGCGGGTCTTAACTATTTGACTTAAGTGTCTGCTGAATTGTGCTTTTCAAGTAGATTAGAAATTTCAGTTAGCCAAGTTTACTTCTAAGAGATTGATTAAACATTTGAGGTGGATTTTTGTTATAGAAAACTCTTGTGTTGCGACAGATGGTTTACTCTAATTCTTGACTACTGAAAGTTCATTATATATTTGGTCTATATTAAAACATACATATATCTGTAATATATAGATTAAATATCACTATCTTAAATGCGATTATAGATACAATGCTTTACTTCCTTCTGAAAAGCAAATATTTGTTTAATTGCTAGATTCTTTAGACTCTAAGAAAGGACATTCATATTATAGATATTATATTATAGACTAGATTAATATACTATACATATACTATACAACTTATTAAGTATACTTTCTCAACTACAAATTTCTGCTTTGTTCATTCCTTCTTCTTCATTCTTGCCCTCTTCCGCAGAGCTGCACAGTCCTGCGCGCCATTGTTATACACCACCGCCGCCGCCACATGGCCCGGCCGCCACATCTGTGGCGCCACCGGCAGCTGGCATAGCGGCACAGACAACGACGCCGAGTCGCCTGCTCAGCTGGAATCACAGTGCAGCCGCAGCGGCCGCCGCGGCAGCAGCAGCCGTTGCCTCCAATCATCAGGCGAATGCAGCGGCTGCGGCTGCAGTCGCCGCGGCAGCGTCCGCAACAGCTGCTGGTCAATCGGGCTCAATCGGGGATCAATCAGGCATGGCACGGCTCAAGGGCCAGAACCTGGGACTCATCTGTGTGGTGTGCGGCGACACGAGCTCCGGCAAACACTACGGCATCCTCGCCTGCAACGGTTGCTCGGGCTTCTTCAAGCGCAGCGTGCGACGCAAACTCATCTATCGGTAGGTAAAAGTACAAACCCACTTGGGTTCAAGCCCAGGCGCGTATGTGTGCTGGCAAGTGGGTGGGTTGGCTGTCTGGCTGTGTGCCTTCTGGCCTGTCTGGCGGATTACCCAAAAATTTATTACAATTATTCAAATCTTTGGGATTTGAGCGTCAACTTTTGAATGCGTTTGACTTTGCCCACACAAATCCCCGTTGAGCATCATCTGCAACTTTAGCTTGCTCTTCCCCTCTCTCTCTCTCACTCTCTCACTCTCTGATTTTATTCCATTTAAAAATTGAAGAAAAAACAAATGTTGAAGCCTGCGCGCACAAATTGTAATTGAATTTAAAGTGCGGATTTAATTTTATGTTTGTTTTTTTGCCACTTTTGCCAGCAGGCAAGGGGGCAGAGGGGCAGGGGGCGATATGTGAGTAACTGTAGCGAGCGTTGTTAGAGGAATGGCTATGTGCAGTACAGTTGAATATATATCCTATACTTAACTTTTGAATATGATTATAGGAGCTGTGTTTAAAAAAAATGTTTTTCAATTATATTATTATTATTATTTCTATCAGCTATTATATATAGTACATATATATATACGTTAAATAATTATTATTATTACTATTAGTATTACTTAAATTACTATTATTATTTTAAATAATTTCTCCAGCACTCTCTCGTCTATTATAATCTAGTCCCTTTTCCCTACTGATCAAAATTCGCAATACTTTTTGAGCACACCTCGTATTGACTTAAAGTTTAGTTAAGGGATATATAACTGTATCTGGCATAGCCTACTTCTATATCTTTGTTCTGCTTTATCTCTATCTAAAATTATAATCTATAATATTTTTATTGTTATTATAATTCTCATAACAAACATTCCCATATTCTTCCCTATTTTCTGTAATATTATCATACACTTAAACAATTTGTTTTTATTTTATGGCACTTGTTTCAGTTTCGTTTTCAATTATCATTAAATCAGCGCATAGTTGGCCCCCTTGGCCTCGCCCCCTTGGCCACATATTTTGTGGGCGACAAATTCCTGGCGAGTCAACATCAAATTATGATTCTATGTAATGTATATATGTCTTTAGACTGTATAGCCTCTGTGTAGCCTCTGCGTATCTGTATATCCTTGGCGCGGTAAATCACAAATGTCGAAATCTCTATATCCTTGCGGTCCCCAGAGATTGATATGGAGGGCTTAAGCGCAAAACACTTGGCCAAATGTGACCGCCGCGTCACTCCAGCAGAGCACGCAGCACCCACCTACCACTCCGCCTCCTCTCGCTCTGCCTCCTCCCTTCAAAGAGACCCTTATGGCAAACCAGCCAACCACCCAACCACCGTCGACAGCTAAGCCAGGACCAAATCGCAGCACAGAAAAAAGGCACAAGAAGGAGGAAGGCAAAATAGAGCAAAAGTTTGAGGGGGAAGCGTGGAGAGAAGTAAGGTGAAGCCTTGCAAAAGGACGAGGAGTTTATTTTTCTGCTACGTGACTTGTGTTTTGGATAGTCAGCGAAGTCAATGTGCCGCCAGAAAGGATCTATATAATATATTTATATATATATTCGTCTCTGGTGGCCGCATTAAGACAATTTCAATTATAATCAATTGCCTTCAATCAGAACTTTATGAAACTCGGAGAGAAAGGGAATTGAAGAGCAAAAGAAAAATTACCATACATAGTTTTAGTTTAGAATATATGTATATTGACTAATATTGGATTATTTAAATGCATATACTTCATACATAGCTATTGACAACAAAAAGTTCTATAATAGAGAAAGAGTCATAGGAATATACAAAGATAAAGAGTGAGAGAGAGAGAGAGAGTAAGGGACACGGAGAAAAATAAAGAGAGTGGGAGATAAACAGAACATTTTAGAGAGAGAGGGAGAGAGAGAAAGAGAGAGAGAAGCAATAAAAATGTGAGAGAAAGAAGAACAGTGAGTAGAGGAAATAGAAAGAGAGAGAGAGAGAGAGAGAGAAAGAGAGAGAGATAGATAGATATAGAGAGAGCGAGCTAATTATTGGGTCTGAGATAGAGGTCAACAATGGTATAAGCTGTGAGATCGATATAGTAATAGATAGAGAGACATGAAATAATAGAGCGGGAGAGATCTTAGAAATCCAAGGTCAAGACCTTATTTCAGATAAAAGAGATTATCAATTTTAATAATTTTACAGTATCCACCAATCAGTGTCACATTAAATTTTTAATTATTCGAATAAAAACAATGAGATGATATTATTTATATTTTTAACAACATTATTCTGTTCCATTTGGTCGGGATAGTTTTTCTGCAATATTCATTTGCTTGACCAGAGTAAAGACCGAGAACGAAAACTTAGTGGCCTGAAAGAGTTTAATGAGCAGAAAGAAAAATAGATAAACAAAAAATGACATATTTACGACGAGTTCTCTTAAAATGTCCAATCTCAACTCACATTCAAATTTGTAGCCACAGAAATGGTAAAAACATTGCCAGCTATGAAGACAATTGGCTTCTGTAGACTCTGTAGAAACAGTAGAACGGTCTTCTTATAGCGCTCATCCTGATAGATCCAATTCGATTCGAATAGCGCATCGGCTAGCTTCATGCAATCGTCGGCCAAGTAGTTGCAGAGTATGCAAAAGGGCGTCGTCTCCAAGAGGACAGCTGTCATAAAGCAGAGAGAAGCAATGCGAGAAGCGAAATTGGCAAACATGACAATGTTGATGATGGTGAAGCCCAGCACCAATCCCACAACGAGAAGCTGAACGAAAATGGTGCCAGAGATAATCGGACGCAAAGTATCGCAGAAACTGAAAGCAGAAGGGAGAAACTTGACAACTTCCTTTATAATGCGGAGAGACTTAAGTCCGACCTGAGTATGATCTTATGGTGCTTTATGCACTCGATAAGCTTCTCGTAACGCTCCTCCGAACTCTCCTGCGGATCGTGTCCCAGTCCTCTCAGTCGCTCCGCAAAGTTCGCCATATGAGCACGCAGAGGTAGGATATAATTGATGGGATAGCAATCGACGCAAACGTCTTGGAAGCAGGCGCCGAACATGGTGAAGTACTCCAGGCACGATTGTAGCCAATATTGCTGGCGACTAGCGCGCCAGTCCAGAAAGGGATAATAGTTCTGGAACATCGGCACGCCGTTGATGCAGGCGCTGATGAACGTCGTTGTGGCATAGATTATATAGACGCTCATAAAGACGAAGAAGATGCGATTGCTCTGCGAGACGGCGCGATGAATTCGGCCCCGCTCAGCCGGCTCGAGCACTTGCTTGTCCAGCTCATCGAAGAGCGCATTGGCCTGATCGAAACGCTTCACGAATATCCAAACGATGATCACCTTGGTCGAGCAGGTGCACGCATTGAAGGCTACCTGCAGTGAGGTGAGAAACTCGCCAGGTGAGAACTCCGACAGGTGCGACACATAGCCGATCATAAAGCCAAAGGGCTGATAGAAGGTGGAGCAGAGATTTAAAGCAAACGACCACGCGACGTAGATCAAGAAGAGGCAGCAGCCCCTCGGCGGTGTCCTGATGCCCATTAGAAAAATGCAGTTCAGCAAGTAGAGCGTCGCCTGCCGCGACTTGACGGACGACTTGTCCGGCAGCGTGTACATCGCCGGGAAGAGCTGGCGTAAACCCATCTTGCAACGGCGACAGACAATTACTGAATAAAGTGGAAATCGTTTGAGTGTTTCCTTTTATATTGTCTGACCAGTTGCATAAAGTGTGAATAATGCATGAGCTAATAAGTTAATCAGTTTGTTCAAAGTTGAAGTTGACTTGGCTGAGGGGCATGCCTCTAGGACCTGCCCAACCTTGCCTTGCCTTGCCTTGCCTTGCTTTAGTTATTGGGGGCGTAAAAGTTTACACTTGACTCTATTAAAAATTGAATGACTTTAGGACGCCTACAGGACAGCCTGTAATTGTTCACATATATGAGATATATGTATGTAAGTATATATATATATAAAATTATATCTATATATACATATATCTCATATATACAACTGCCTAAACTTTTCACTATCCGTCAGTTTATAAATGCCCCTGAAGAAGGCGCACAATAAGCGGAGAAAGGATAGCAGAATTAAAGCAAAGGTTGACTAACATTGAGCCGACCTCAAGAAGACAAAGGCGTAAACTGTTCAAAGATTAAAGAAAGGAATTAAAGCCAAATTCCAGATTTTATAAGAAGGAAAAGAATAAGAGAATTCGATTTAATATGAATATTATCAATATCATTTAAAGCTTGTGAAATTCGTTTTTTTAAAGCTAAATTGAGTTCTTCAAATATGCTATTTCAAGTCAAGTTGATTTAAATATCAAGTCAAGTAATTACAAATTCAAGCTGCAATGGTAATAATTGTAAATACAGTAGAATCCGATTATAGCGACACTCAAGGGACCGTCGTTATACCCGGAAGGCGCTATAGCCGTATGAGTTTGTTCATTAAAGTTTATCTGGGGACCAGAATTTTCGTTGCTATAACCGTACAGACGCTATAAGCGGAGTCGTTATAACCGGATTCTACTGTAATTCGGACTACTATATACTTAGTACACCTTCGTAGAATATATACTATAAATCATATACATACATATGTAGGTAAAAGTCGTACAAAGCTATATCGACTCAGTTCATCGCTCTGATCAAGGATATATGTAAAGATACATATATTTATATACTTTATGGGAACTGCCACGCCCCCTTTACAGTCTCATAATCAAATTAATCAATTATAAAGAAAAGCTAATAAAAAACTTCATTTTTTTTGCCAAATAAACTCCAGAAAGAATGTGTACAAAAAAACGAATCAATAAACGACTCGAAGCAGTCAACAGCTATGGCTTCAATCTACGTGATTTGTTTACGAAAACATAAAATTAGCATATTCCAGGCACAAATAGTGGCTGGTCACACACACACACATACACCTACACACACATACACACACACATAGGCGAACTGTGTATCTGAAGGATACATTTAGCTAAGTGCTTTGTTAGTTAGTCAAACTTCACGCAGAGCAAATAAAAAATGCGAGGGACACGCAAAGTGCGAGGCAGAGCGAGAGAGGTAGACAGCATTAATGGAGGGGTTGGGGTAAGCCAAAAGAACCTTTGCCATTTTGTATTTTGAGTTTTGGCGCAGGCTTAGAGTGCGACAAGGATGCAGCACAAAAGCTGCAAACGAGTGCGACAGAGCCGAAGCCAGACAGCACAAAGCGTCGCAGCGAGTGCGAGCGAGACGCAGCACGATGACGAAGGCAGACAAAAGCTGACTTAAACAGCCGACAGTGCGAGGGTGTGAGAGGGAGAGCAACTGCTGCTGCTGCGTGTTGCTGGTGCTCTGGCTGCTGTTGCTGCTTAAGAGGTGGTTGGCAATGATTTCAGACAGTCAATGTGATTTGATTAAAATGCCACAAGTGCCGCACGCCTCATGCCTCATGCAGCGTGCCACAAAACATACCGAACAAAGGCCAAAAATAGATACGCAGCTCAGCTGTTCAGATACCATTTTTGCTGCAGCTCAGATACTTAGCCTTAGTGAGTGGGCTTACGCTTCGCTTGCCAGCCAAATTTCACAAATGTTGCAATTCTTGACACTGGGCATCTGTCTAACTTAATTATCCTGCGGACGCTTAAACATTCAGCTCGCAAAACTGAAAATGCTTTTTTCTGCTTTTTATTCTTGCAGCTGCCAGGCGGGCACCGGCCGCTGCGTCGTCGACAAGGCCCATAGGAACCAGTGCCAGGCATGCAGGCTCAAGAAGTGCCTTCAAATGGGAATGAACAAGGATGGTAAGTGAATTAATTCGAATTTGATTTTAGTGATTTTAGTGGGCTATGCGCAGTCAAAGTGCGCTTGGGCTAATCTAATCTGATATTTAAGGTTAAAGAGTATAGAAAAATTTGTGATTTTGATATATTGATCAGCTTTCGAGTTGTCTGAGTAGCTTCGGACTAAACTGTGAAAATATGTATTCTGCGGCCAACTGGGGGATTTGAGTGACAAGTCCGAGAGAATGTGTATTAATAAACTTTCTCTGATTAAAATTAGTTTTATATGCAAGTAAAAGAATATACCATCTGAATTAAAGAATATGCTATCTTAATTGTGATTTCCAAGTTCCGAAACAGATATTTATTAGAGTAAATTGGAATACATTTAAATTACCTGGGAGTATGGTAAATAAAGAATCATAGTTTAGCAATTTATCATGCTTTCAACTTGGGATTTTAGGCTCTCTAAGAGTCTAAATGAGAAACCTTTTAATAAAATTTGTTGACACTGATTCAAGAGAGAGTTTAAATCACAACCTGGACCTAGACCCAAAGGTAAAAGTTTTATCGAGAATGCTGTGGCTAGACTATCAGAACTAACCTAGCTATAACTAGTCTAGTCTATCAATTCTTCCTCTATTCATCAGCACAGCTAGTTGTCATACATATACATATATGTATTGCTCTTCATTTCATGATTGACAGCGGAAATTGTATCTAGCAAATTGAGTTTAGCTTAACTGCTGAGGCTTTCCTCGCCTTTGAGCACATTATCAATCGATAACTCGCACGCTCTAGTAGCAACTAGTTCTTTATATGTACATATATGTATAGCTATACCCCGTTTACTCTTGCTCCCTCTCCACTCTCTCATCCATATTCATAATCTGTCTAAACGCTCTAATGAACTGAAGCACGTTTAATTGCTCTTTAACATGACCTCAAAACGAAAACCTGGCGACACGTGCGAGTGTGTCTAATGTAAATATCTCTAGAAGATGCTTCGCTCTCACTCCCTCTCTCTCTCTCTCTCCCTCTCTCTCTCTCTCTCTCTCTCTCTTTTTGTCTCTCACATAACCCTTTCCCACGCAACGCAAATATTATGAAAAGGTTTGCGTTGCTTTGGGGTTGCTCCTGCTCCTGCTCCCTGCCTGCCCGCCAGCTTTCCCTGCCTGTTCACCTCCCAGTGGCTTGGAGTGTGCTCCGCGGTGGCTCACTTTTTGGGGTGGTGCACTTTATTTACATATTGTTCACTCAATTGATTTGTTACCTGCTGCTGTCTGTCGTTGTCTTTGACAGATTTTTAAGCAGCTTCCATAGCAGTTGAGTGAACAAAGCACAGCATTATTGCTCAGGTATATAGTTACAATATATATGCATGTCTGCGTGTCTGCATGTATATGTGTATATCTTTACTCTCATTCCATTGTGTGCAGCAGAGAATTACTAAGTAGCTTTCAGTTATTGTTTTCCTAATCAAATTTGTCGTCCTTTGTCGATGGCAAATGTGAAGTCGTGAATCTTAATTGAACTTTAGCTATGCCAAACATCCATTTTGACTTACCTGAAAAGCAAGAGATGTAGAGGACTTTAAGATTACTTGATAGATTATCTGTTTTGCTGTTTGTTTTGAACTAAACATTTTATAGAGACTTCCGGCTTCATCCTTTTGAGTATACAGAAATCAAAGACGAGTCAGAGCAAGACCAAGTCAAAAGGCTATCTAAAATAAATTGAGCATTACAAATTTCTGAATTTATATAGGCATAAGTGAAGGCACAGAGGGGCATAAGCTATACTTTGACAATATATTTTTAGCAATCCTCGTATATATTTTTTTAATCGCAAGTCTATAAGTTTAAGAGACACTAACATATAATATGAACTCTACATAATGATAATCAAATAGTTTACCCCGCCTCTAGTAGGCGTTTTTATTTTATTTACTTCACTGTAGAAGAGAGGAGAAAAGAGAACGAAAAGTCAAAAGCTCTGGCTATTGTATATCCTATGATATATGATATACATCGATTAGAGATCTACATACCAACTCTCTAGCCAACAAACTCACTCCAATTTAAACACTTCACACAAACCAATATACTCTCCTTGCACTTATGAGCTCGAGCACGTATCCGCGGCTCACATTGCCTCACTCCGGCTCAGCTTGCTCGACAATAGTCTAAGTTTCGCTCTCATGACACGTCTCGGATGTCGAGTGCGCTTATTAACAACTGCAGAATAGGCCGCACTTCATTATGGCTCGGCCCACCCGCTGCCGATTGAACCATAAATTATGCCAGCCATATGCAAAATGGCAACAGTTACCGCAAAGCGCGCGAGGTGGCGCAACGAGGACTCTGGGGAGGGGGAAGGGGGGAGAGGGGAGAGGGGAGGAGGCGTGGCACACGTTGCACAGATTGAGTTGTCGCGGTAAAATTGCATAAACAAATGGGAAAACAATTTGTGGGCGTAAAGCGGCACGTGACCACAAAACCAATTTACCGAGCAATGTCCCCAGGCCAAATGAGAAGCGCAGAGAGCGGCAACAGCGCCGGCTGTGGCGATGGCACGCGCAACCAGTGTTGCCAAACTATTTGGCATTTAGGCGTTAGGCGTTAAGCGACATTTTGTGACATTTTCTCATTATGCGCAGACGAATTTGCCTGGGCGTTGCCTGGGCGAGTGGTGTGAGTGGTGCGAGTGGTGCCAGGAAATTCACTTATGCATTTTGTTTTCCAATTACAGCGGTGCAAAATGAGCGACAGCCACGAAACACGGCCACTATACGGCCGGAGACGCTGCGGGAGATGGAGCACGGCCGTGCGCTGCGAGAGGCTGCCGTAGCCGTTGGTGTTTTCGGGTGAGTTGACCTAGTAGAGCTGATGATAGTGGACCCACTGGTTGTCATTTGCATAACTGTAACACGCGATCTCTCTCTCTCTCTCTCTCCCTCTCTCTGCTCTCTCTTGCCAATTTGCAGACCTCCTGTGCTACTGTCGCCGCCCTGCTACGGCTCTGGTCTGCTGCCGCCGCCTTGT